CTTGAGTCCAACAGCTATGGTCCTGAGACCCAACTTTCTGATTTCTGCTTCAACACAGATGTAAGAGAGTTGCAGGATCTAGTAAATGTGCTCTATAGGGAGACCAATGTGTATGAGAACTGTGAGGAGGGGGAAGGGGGATATAGGGCAGAGGGAGCAGGTACAGTAACTGCTTGATCGCAGGCTATAGCTTAAGGCAAGGGCATTCACAGAGAGCCCTCAGAGCTCCCTGTGGAACACTACTTCCAGGGTCTCAGCCAAATCACATATGGCCCCTGACTGTCTGCAGGAAAATGGGAGGACTGCCGAACACAAGGTCACCCAGGTGCCCACTCTGTCCAGTAAAAGAGAGACATACGGAAGGGCTGAATTATTAAAGGTACAGATAGTGTAATGCATGAGCATTTGGGAGCCTAGTATGTGTGTGGTTTGCCTGTTCCAGTGAATATAAATTTCAGACTGGTATCGATGGAGTCAAGGTGATACTGTGCTCCCTCAAAAAACAGCCAGATGAAAATGTTGATTCTCTTAGATACAAAACCACTAAACAAGTGAAATGAACTGGATAGCCTCTTGTTTAAATTCTTTCTTACAGTATGTTCTTTTTTGTAAGAGGAAGAAAACTGTTACTTTCTCTGTGGTGTCTTTTTATATATATATATGTCAAGATTTTGTTCATTTTAGTCAGAATGTGGGCCCTAAAGGATCCCAGAAGAATAAAATGTTTTGAATATAATCTATAAAAGTGCTCTTTAGGAAACGACTTTTCCAGTGTGGCATCCTGTATCTAGCCTGAATGTCTTCTGATAGTTTGTTTGAAAGGTGCTTTATATATAATCTTAAATAAGGGTTAGTTTGTTTCACCATAGAGCACTTTTTGATAATGATATAGGGTTAAGTTTCATTGCAGTAATAAAAATCCACTGCATGATATAACCACACAATGCCCTTCTGGTTTTGGAGGGTGTGGTTGTGATGCAGTGCTCAAATAACTTAAGAGGTCATAAAGCTTCTTTCTTCATGGAAATCAAAGAATAATGAAGACAACACATAGCCTGCTCCTTTTTCAAATTTAAGAAGATGATATGACATCTGGTTAACTAGTGAATTGCTCAGCAATTGCTGAAGATAACCTCGTAGTACGAAGCACTGTTTGCATCTCTTTGCATTTTATATGTTAATACTGCTGCTATAATTGCTATAAATATTCGTGCCCTGTTTGGCACAAATCTGAGCAAAGGTTTTTGCCTTAACATGCTGGAAAAGAATAAATAACCAGATGAAGAAGTTCAAGTAGGTACAGTAGCTGCGTCAGCATGCGTAGGCTGCCAAGAAACAGATAAAGATTTATTCCATGCTGAAAGGAAAAGACACACAAAGTTTTGGTAGTGGAGCCTTCTCCTAGAGCTGAAATGTTCTCTTTTCTTACCTGTTCCTAATAAGTCAGATTATTGGAAGTTCATTTTTATTTTTTAAACGATGTAAAAAGTATTGAACTTATTTACAATAATATGTATTTTTTTAGAAATGAAAGAAAATAGTAATTGTTTAATAGATATTGATAAATACAAGAGGCCTTTGCTGCACTGTCACATAGAGAATTTTAGAAAAATATTAAGAATGTGTTTTGTAAGTTGCAATGTTTGTAGGCTGCATTGTACATTCATAATAAACTCTGTATATCCTTTTCTCTGTAAATGTTTGCCTGAAGCGGTCCATGCAAAACAAAACATTGGTAACTTTATATAAAATTTAAAAAAGGGCTTAGATTATTAATTTTCATAAAATTAAGTGGCTATGTGGTGGAATGCTAAAGTAAGACCAATTGACCAATAATTCTGACTTCTATTATATGTAAAGTTATGAAAACAATTATTAGATTTAGAGGATCAGCTACCGTGATCAACTTATTCATTGAGCAAACAACAGTAATGTAATATAATATGGTATATTTACATTGTCAGAAGGGCTTTGGTAAAGTTTTCCAAACAATGATCAATTCTCCAATTATGGTAAGTTGGCATTCAAAGAAATGTGTGCATTTGATCGGATAATTAGTTATTAAATAATAAAAGTGAGCACATATAATTAGGGTGATGCAATCCTATACCAGGGATCTGTACTAGGACTACTGCGCTTCCTAATTCATATCAGTGATCTAAATTGTGATATACTGTAGTTAGTAAACTTAAGTTTGAAGACAATAACAAAATAAAAAGATCAACAAATACTATGGAAGCAAATCCAGGATTTTTCATGCGGGTAACAAGAAATAACTAAAAATACAAAACTGGGAGCACTAAGCTGGAAGAGGCTACTTATGAACAAAACTTGAGTGTTTACTTTAAAGAGTATACTGTACATCTTCCAGACAATGTGGGAAAGCAATAAAATAGGCAAACTATGTTAGGCTAGATAGATAGATACTTTATTGATCCTGTGAGGGAAATCGGAGGCTAAATAGTAAATATACAATTCAAATTAAGGGATTTATGTAAAAATTGTACAAAATACTTCTTTGTTCTCATTTAGAACAGTGCAGACTTATCCAAAGTCCTTTATACTTTATTCAAAGGGTTGGGGGAGGGGGGGGGTTTGGAGAAAGATACCCATCCATGTGGTTGAAGCTTTTACCCTGTCTTCCTTCATGAAAAAGGCTGAATAAGTTCTTTGGATCAAAAAGCTACTAACTACCAAATAGGTTAGATGGGCCGAATGGGCTCCTCTTGCTGGTTCTCATTTTTAAGTGAAGTGTATAATTTTAATCAAATCTATTAATTTAAACTGAAATGATCAACCTGAACAAGCAAGTGGTTGAACGTTAGCAAATCATGACACGTTGCTTAAACAGTAACACCTGGGAATATTGAACTCTGTAAACAGCCCTTTTAGATCACTGTGCACGTACTATAGCACTTGCCTGCTGTAGATTAGTCTCACACACCAGATGCCCAAATGCACTTCTGAGTTGTATCTTCCAGCCCTTCTGACCCCTGATCACCATCACAGAATGGAAATGTTCTAACTTCCATGTTATGTTTATCTTGGTACTTGAACAGGTGACAGCCAACAAGTTGACATTTCGTAAACACTGATTAAATTGTTTCATGGCATCAGTTTCAATTTACTTAAAGCATTTGAGCAATTTATTATGCTTTTTATAAGCCGTGTAGCAGGCATACATATACAGCAAAGAAACACTCAGGGTAAAATGGAATGGTTTTATAACATGAAACTCATAATCTAGATGATGTAGAGAATTGTTTTAGGTGCTTTTCATTTATGTCAGGTCTGGTCTGAAAGGTAGAATTACTGGATAAAGTTTCCATCTGAGCTGTCTGGTTTTTGTATACACAGCACTTACCAATGAGTGGGTTTGAGTCTTTTTTTCCTTTTCACAGATTTTGGAATGCAAGCACATTTGATCAGTACAGTGAAATTTCATTTGTTGTGTTAACTAAAGATTATGTATGTACTCATTCTGAAGTGTAAATAGCCAATTTGGGCTAGAAGTAATATATTTTTTCAGGCTAAACTGTTGTTTCTACTGGCTTTGGCCTATGCGCCATGCTCTCTGTTAATCTCTAACTGCTTAATGCCTATTCTTGTTCATTTGTGATCTTAAAAGCGTCTCTGGGTTGACTTTGTTAGTGCTTTTCAGTAGTTTGTATCCTTCTGCTTGCAATGTCTAAGTTCACAGCATTTATTTAAGACCAGGATATTTTTCTGGTTACTTGACTTTGTACCATCTTCAGGACGCTCATATTGCATTAAATTGTGTAGTATTTTAACTTTACATTCATGTATTTTAAATACTACATTTCCATTGTATGTTGAATATCTGGGACAACTAAAAACTTAGCTGAGCCAATTTATGGAAGCTTTCACATAGAAATTCTCCAAAAAACAGATGGGTGAGATATTTATAATATAATTGATAAGCTGTTAGCAGCAAAGAAAATCTGCAGTTTGTTTTTATTAATTGGATAATTTTGTTGGTGTATAAACTTACAGATTTGAAGCAATTCCAAAGATTTTGCTTATGAAAAAAACCTAGCTGCAGGAATTAAAAATGCTTCTTGTATCAGTTTTAAGGTCATTTGGCATGGCCATGCAGAAGATTTAAAGGAATATTACATATTTGTGTTAACCTCTTTTTAAGCAATTTAATATCATTAATATTGTAACACCAAGAACACTAACATTTTTGAAGGTTTATATTTATCATCTGCTGCAGACCTAGTTTATTTAGTTAGCATTTAAAAAAAAAACCTCAGCTCTAAATGTAGACCTTCTGTACCTCTCAGGATAATATTCATACCAGTAAAATAGATCTGTTTTTTTAAAGATTGCTGCTATGTTATCTCATATGTTCTAAAAAAGTATGAAGCATATTATGAGAATAATGCTTTCATATTGAGTAAGTCCCATATGTATTTCAAATAATAAAGTAAACTAGCAAAGAGAAATATTAAATTTTTAGAATTCTAAAAACAAGGACTAGTGAAAGTGGGAATACCACAGTGAAGACCCATTGATATTGACTTATGGCATCTTTATTTAATCCTTTGTATTGTTTGCCTTTTCTGAACAAAGAAATTGAATTCATAGAAATATTATATGCTGAACTATGGAGAGGGGAACTATTGCTATTGGCAGTGCTCAGGCACCAAGCAAGCTGAGCTCCAACCTGCAGCAGTGGAACACAGAGTGTGCCCTGTTTCTCTGTCAGGATGTGCTAATGGGCCCTGGCAGCTCAGCGTATCCACTGAGGGCTTTTTTTTTCCGTGTGTGGTGGACTCAGCTTGTTCAGCAGAAAGGCCTGAGGCTGTGCATTGTCTGCTTTCGGAAGAGTCTACCGGACTGGATGGTAGGGAGGGGTGGGGGGGAATATCTGATAGGGATTTTAATACCCCCCCCCCCCGCTCAGAGAGGGACTAAGCTGTGCACTGCCCTCCTTGCATTATTAATGGAAGAATGTTTTTTTTTTTACGTTGCAGATGACTGAGAGCTAGCCAGGCGTGTTCGACATCAGGATTGTTCAGATTGCCACAGCCATGAATGGTAAGCAGGTTGTTTATTTTTGGGTTTGAGTCTCTGTCTCTCGGTGTATGTGGTACGAGGGAGGGGGGGTTGTTTTTGTGTGTTGGATCACTGCTGAGCCCAAAAGGACAAAAAGATCTCCTGCAACTGTTAATACTTTCTCTAAGCCAGCGCTGAATCAATCCATACCTAGCAGATACTGTATGCACTGCAGCATAGCTCTTCTCTTTAAGACTACATTTCACCATTCACTTTTCATTCCTAATACAGGAACAGGATGCACTGTGTTTGCATTTATATTGGTGACTGTTGTTTTTGTCAAGTCCTTTCTTTTCCCTTTGCACCTTTTCACAATATTGAGCTCAGGTAACTGTGCAAATAAAATATTAGGTAAAGTGCCCTTACTTTATTTAGCATTTAAATTTTATGTTTCTGAAACAGCAGTAAACTGAAAACTAAATGTTCTATCTAGTGGTGCATTTAATAGGTTTTTTATCTACATTACATGTGAATTGCATGTCTAATGTAGATGTGATGATAATTCCTATATTAAAGCAAGCATTACTGTCATTATTGTATCACCCTTAATTAAGTGCATATCCTTCAAAATTATGAGTAAAAGGACATCTCCAAAGTGGAATACCTTATCTGTCAGTTTTTGCGCCAGCCTTGTTTTCTATACAACCTGAGCAAATTCTATGCCGTTTGTTTTCTTTTGGTTATATTAACCATAGAATTTGAATAAGGAGATGCAAATTGAACTTCCCATTGTTCTTAATCTGTATATTGTACCCTGATTTAGATTTGTTTTTAAGTGCTCATGTATTGTATGAATCCTGACTGGCACTAGTTGACAGGAAAGAAGACAAAGACTAAATATTTCAGACAGGTGGTTTGCCCATGAAAATGTTCATGCGGTGTTTAGCCACTGTCATGAGCTCTTCAAGAGCTTGTGATCAAAGCCTACAACATACTTCATTCTTTTGTACAACGTACAACACACTTAATGCTTTTGCAGTAAAATAAAACTGCAAGTGTTAGCTACAAAATTGGAATCAGTCACAAGCTTGGGTTTTGACACACTTAATTTGAACAAGTTATTTAATCCATACACAATACATCATATTTGTAAAACTGTATTTTATTTTTATCCTAGATTTACTGAGCACAAATTCATCATAACAAGAGGTAGTTGGAAGTTCGAATATGAGCTTTACTGATCTGAGCACATTATACAGTAAATATTTAATTCTTTATATCTGTAGAATTGTAGAAATGTAATATTCACATCCAATATGTCTGTGACTACTTATCATATAAACATATAAACTAGCATATAACTAAGATTTTTATGAACATTGGTAAAAGAATAGAGCAATATGGGGAAATTACTGCAGTTTTTCCTGTTTGGTACAAAGATGAGGAAAGAGTTCTAAAAAGGAAAGTTGTGGTTCTGGGTAGCGGGTTCACGGCTGAACAATTTTCTGTGATTAATCTGCTACAAAAATCTATCCTGTTTCGGGTCAGTCCGGATACATTACATCTAACTGAATCTTTGCAGCCTTTTTACAGAATAGCTCCTGTGTAAACTTCCTACATCATCCCTTCCTGGTGGTGTAATGGTTTTCCCTTTTAATGTAATATTGTATATAATCTAATGTTCTTAATTTCCTTGTGTATAATTTCCTTTAGTTGACAACAGTGAAGACGCTCTATTCCTCTCAGTGCCTTTCTTTTTTTAAAAAAAAAAACTTAATTTGCATTTATGGTGGTATTTTATATTGTTTGGTATCTACAGTACGTGGTTACACATGGCAAGTGTGACAGATGCCTGGGAGAAGTCACACTGTGGCTGGTATTAGGGAGCTGCCAGCCTAGGACCCTTGGCCTAAAACATCTTATAGTTTTCTATTACTGAATTTTCTATAACTGTTCTGTTGAGCTCAGGTTCACAAATTTTCTTTCAAATTATGAAATTCCACTGAATTCCCCACACGCTTAATGTGTTTTGTTTGCAAATGTCACAAAAGTGTATTGGATTTAAGGATGTTTTGGCCAAAAAGTCACTTCACAGAACATGCTTCATTGTCAGCTGAGCCACTGTAATGAAAATCAAATGGTAAATAATACCTGCCATATTTTCTGTTTTCATTTTCTTTACTGCACTCAGGATGCCTAATTCCTCTCCACCATCTGCCAGTTTCAGCTTTCTCATTTGTGCCATATCCAACATAACAATCCATCAATTTGACAAAATGTAATGCCGATTATTTTAGAAATGAAGTACTTTATGTGTATGTATTTTATGTCATCTACCGATTCTTTCTTGCTGCTAAAATGGGACTACTATTATTTTTCTACTATTTATTGCAGCAAGTAATAGTAAAAGCCAACTGGTGTGGAGGTGGAGATGTGATGAATTGGGGAGAAATGCCCATGGGAAAACAGTTTTTTGCAGTGACACATCTTCAAAAAACAATTGGTTTCCAATGTTTTTTCCCTGACCACGTTTTATTCTTAATATTCCCAACTCCCAGCACGCTTGTTCTTCTGACCCTAATTGATCTCTAGTTTAAGTCCATCTTAAGAAGCTGGAAGTGTGTAGTAATTACTTTCACACCTGGACTGGTTTCTGGGTTTCATTCTGGCACTCATTCAGGTTTATATAATGTAAGTAGTCAAAGCTGTGTGGCACAGAGGTGTATTTTTTGTAAGTTTGTTTTTAATACAGTGTCGTTCAGTAATTGTTTAGAGAGAAATAATGGAGAAACCACGTAAGCAAGCTGAGAAAGGATGAGTGAAATTGTATTTGTTACAGTTTTTCACAGGAACACAACTGTAACAGCATTTTTGAAACAACAGGTTCAGTACAGGAAGAGGATGTATTGCATATGTTGTATTGAGCACAAAGCTGATCAGTTAGCCCCCATTATCCCAAGTTCATCTGGAATAATAAGCAGGAGATGCAGGGCGGCTCTAGAACCAGGTTTGCAAACCAAGGCAAAGCATCTTTCATGGGATGAACTGTGCCAATGACACAAGCTGGAGATGGCTGCGGCCGGACATCCTTGGCTGGATCCTCGTAAAGAATGACATAACATCCCACAGCAGTCAGTCCAGAGGCAGATCAGGTCTGTGCTTCGTCACTGATAGGATTGAGCTACTAGTCAGGAAGGTCATATCCAAAGCTAACTTTCTCATCTTTTTGTTTTGTTTTTGCATCTGGTTTCAAACTGAGAACATATCTTGATTCCTATTTTTGTTCAAATTTTCTGTGATAATATTTTGTGAAATTTAGTAGATCTGGATGTTTTTCATACATCAGTGTATTTTAATATCTAGTGTTATTATGATGAAGATAATGATGCCAGAGCAATACATATTTTTATTACTGTGCATATATCATTATCCATGGTTATGCATTGATTTAATCAATACATGTGGAATAATATATTCCACATGTATTGCAATGATATATAGTATTACTATATATCATTGCTAGAACATCTGAGTAATTTACAGAATCTCACGTAGGGGGTATGCTTTTGTGTCTAGAAAATTGTCAGTCCATATAACTTTTATTCTGAATAAAAAATAAATGATTAAATATCATTCTGTACATTGGTCAGCATGTTGGCACAGTGGTTAACATGGCTACTTTGCAGCATTGGGGACTTGGTTTCAAGCTGTGTTGAGTTTGCATGTTCTCCCAGTGTTCACATGGGTTTCCCTCTGGGAACTCCATACTTGTAGGTTATTTGGCTTCTGGGAAAAATTACCCTGGTGTGAGTGTGTGTGTGTGTGACTCCCAAGTGTCCTGTGATGCCCTGGCATCCCATCCAGGGTGTATCCTGCCATGTGCTCTTTGCTTGCTGGGATAGGCTCTGAATCCCCAGCAACCCCATTTGGGATCAATAGGTTAGAAAATATATGGATATCAGACATTGATTGATTTGTCTCAGCCGTTATTAATTATACATTTGTTTTGTAGCTTCACCCAAGGTGATTGACAAGTTATATCACTGAATTAGTATAAACGATTTAGGAGTTGGTATAAGATAACATAGAAAATGTAAATACACAATAGTATAAAGCAGAAGGGTACATTGTTAGACACACGTGTAGACTTTCAGTGATGTAACATTAATTCTTGGGATTGTTCTGATAGTTTTCGCTTCAGCTCTTCATAAAGAAGCAAAGTAGAAAGTAGTTTTTTGTGAGGACGAGAGAAGGGATCATTCTATACCAGTCACACCAGAGGAAACTGGTTGTGCATTTAAAAGCACTGTATGAACAATTTTCCAAGTACCCAGTTTCATATTGACTTATTTATAAAATAGATGCACCATCTTACTTTCAACATCAATTACATCACTGGTGTATCACTCCAGTCTTCTCACTCCAGAGCTAATTGGTATTTTTACCTCCTTTTGGATCAGCACAACTCTTGCTGTTTTAAGCCAACTTAAAAATAACATCCCCCGTTTTTTTTTCCAATAGAGTTAGGGAAGTTGCTGTGGCTCATATCATTGGAAAGTTAAAACTCTTCTTGGTTCTAAAAACAAAAAGAAAAAAAAATCCAATCTTTACCCAACATGATATGTGTGTGGGGAGATGCAGCATATGGGGCTATATAGTTGTTTTATTTTACGAATGTCTGAATGATCTGAGGATGACATTGGTTATTACATATTTTTCATCAAAGTCTTTATCTTTACTTTACCTTACCCCCCCAATAAATACACTCAATTTCTTTTCAGAATTCCTTTTCATGTTTTCGAACATGCTTGTTTACTTGTGTGAAGTAATTATTTCAACTTTCTTTTAGAAAGTAATTTTTCTCTGTGTGCTCAGGACGACATCCCTTTCCTGCAGAATTGCTTAATGATATAATCTATCACTGCCAATTTTCATACTCGGATTTGCTGACATTTAGAAACTGTCTGGGACTGTTCTGTCACTAGATGCATTTGGAGAAAATACCATCTAAATTAGTGAGTATGTTAATTTTCTAGGGACAAGGCTTTGACTTTTTCATGCATTTGATGCTGTAGCTGTGTAGGAAGCTTGGTTTTTGAGGTTTGCCTACACGTGGAACCTAGATGTTTGTCTTGATTCTTGTCTGAAGGATATGATGTCAAGGGCTCAGTGGTATTTCCTGTAGATAATGAGTAAATAAGCAAACACTGATTCAGGGTGGTAATTGTTCCAACTATATACAGAGATGTGAAAGGTTATGATTTTGTGGCTGAAGTTTGAGACTAGTGCACAGCACAAACATAGGCTCTAGGGAGAAAGGTATTATTTGAGAAGAATAGTAATAAATCACCAAGATTATTTTTAGCAAAATTATAATAGCTGATGCATTATGTATTTGTGGGAAAGTATAAAAACCTGTCTTGCCTTAAAGTTTTTTGGGCATTGTATTGGTGAGCTTCATGTCAACCTCAACTTTGAACTATTTTTTTTTAGAATCTGTGCGAAATTAATTTAAATCTTTTTGTGATGTAATCTGTGTGTACACTACTTATAATTCATCAGAAGATTTAACTTGATGTGGAAAGGAAGATTTAAGCATATTTTTTAGAATAAAAAAATTTTTCATTCCAAGTGTTATCTGTTAACTGTGAACACAGTCAGAACAACTAACCAAAACTAACTTTTGAATTATTTATTAATTGAGAAGATATGCTTATAGCTGTTGAGAGGTGATCTATAAAAAACTAACAACTTCAAAGTTCAAGATGACTCAATATTCTTCAACAAGCAGCTGGATCATATTAATCATGGATTCGAAAACACCAACCAGACAAGCAAGATCAGCCGAATGGTCACTTTGATGTTTTTATCATTTCTCAACTTGAAAGTGCTGGAAACTTTTTTGGGGCATGCATCAGTTGGTATTATAAAACATTTATATTATGAAATATCTTTTGCTTTAATATTTGACATTAAGTTTTCATCTCTGAGACATGGTTCAGGTTTAGATGAAAGATAAAATGATCCTCAAATAGACCATGTATGAGTGTTAAATAGGATACATGTAAACTTAGTAAACTTAGTGAATATAGCTGACAATATTGTATTTGCAAAGACACTTTTTGTAATGAAACCTAAAACTCAGTGTGTGTGTACAACACCCATATTTTTAAGTGAAAGAGATTTCTGTCAGTATGGTTGGTCCCATTACCTTATCACTCTGTGTAGCATCTCTCCACTCTTCTGTTTTCAATACAGTTTGGTCTATGGAGATTTACAGTATATATATTTAGTTTTCAAAATACACTTAAGGGCTTTATGAAGTTAGACAAACCAACTTTGACTCATTGCTTTCTTGTCCACTATAAACAACTGTTAGGGAAGCATGGCTCACCATGTTGCAAGTATCAGTACTTTGATATTTAAAATGTGCTTGATTTTGTTGGCACATACTATCCTTATACAGGTAGTTACTAAGAAAAAAGTCCCTAGTCACTTTCTTCCTCTGTAATTTCTGTGTTATAACATGGATGCTGGCGACGTATTCCACTTCTTATACCTTGCTGCTGTTTCCATAGATAGGGGTAGGATCCCTA